AAATCTTCAGAAGAATGTTTGGCGGTGACAAATCTGGTTGGCGATTGGTAAACCCAAAGTTCAGGCTTAGAACACCACGCCATAAACCTCTGATCCACGGCGAGGCTTTGTTCTTTGATTTCTTACATTCAAACGTGCGATGATCAAACGCTCCTTCAGTCGATCTGATATCGTAGCACCGCCACCAGCCCCAGTGTCAAACCTAAGCCCGACCATGTGGGCCTGTTGGTGGCTCCGCCTCCCGCACAGTTTAATGATTGCTCAGAGGTAGGTGTGAGGGTAGCTTCAGTGGGATTAGCCGATGTGTGTCCGGTCGTCGTGGTGATTTGTCGTAGTCTGAAGTTGTGTTTCATGGCAGAGTATTGATCTGGACCATGTGGGATGGTAAGCGTCTCGGTTAAATCCTCGTGGCCCAGGTACCTCACCTGTCAGGATCAGAAGAAAGTAAAAGTCATGAAGAGAGCAGCTGGACTCAAACCGACAAATCAGACACACAAAAGACATGTTTTAAATCCAGATGAAGACTAAAAGATGTGAAAACTAATGGGAGGACCATGAAGGTGTAGTTTACCCTGAAGGTGTAGTTCACCATGAAGGTGTAGTTTACCCTGAAGGTGTAGTTCACCATGAAGGTGTAGTTTCCCCTGAAGGTGTAGTTTACCATGAAGGTGTGGTTCACCATGAAGGTGTAGTTTACCCTGAAGGTGTAATTCACCATGAAGGTGTAGTTTGCCCTAAAGGTGTAGTTTACACTGAAGGTATAGATCACCATGAAGGTGTAGTTTACCCTGAAGGTGTACTTCACCATGAAGGTGTAGTTTACCTTGAAGGTGTAATTTACCATGAAGGTGTAGTTTACCCTAAAGGTGTAGTTCACCATGAAGGTGTAATTTAGGTGTAGTTCACCATGAAGGTGAAGTTCACCATGAAGGTGTAGTTTACCCTGAAGGTGTAGTTCACCATGAAGGTGTAGTTTAGGTGTAGTTTACCCTGAAGGTGTAGTTCACCATGAAGGTATAGTTTACCCTGAAGGTATAGTTCACCATGAAGGTGTAGTTTAGGTGTAGTTGACCCTGAAGGTGTAGTTCACCATGAAGGTGTAGTTTACCCTGAAGGTGTAGTTCACCATGAAGGTGTAGTTTACCCTGAAGGTGTAGTTTACCTTGAAGGCGTAGTTTACCTTGAAGGTGTATTTTCGGTGTAGTTCACCATGAAGGTGTAGTTTTGGTGTAGTTTACCCTGAAGATGTAGTTTACCATGCAGGTGTAGTTCACCCTGAAGGTGTAGTTCACCATGAAGGTGTAGTTTACCATGAAGGTGTAGTTCACCATGAAGGTGTAGTTTAGGCGTAGTTGACCCTGAAGGTGTAGTTCAACATGAAGGTGTAGTTCACCATGAAGGTGTAGTTTACCCTGAAGGTGTAGTTTAGGTGTAGTTTACCCTGAAGGTGTAGTTTACCTTGAAGGCGTAGTTTCGGTGTAGTTCACCATGAAGGTGTAGTTTACCGTAAAGGTGTAGTTTACCATAAAGGTGTAGTTTACCCTGAAGGTGTAGTTTAGGTGTGGTTTACCATGAAGGTGTAGTTTACCTTGAAGGTGTAGCTTAGGTGTAGTTTACCATGAAGGTGTAGTTTATCTTGAAGGTGTAGTTTACCTTGAAGGTGTAGTTTAGATGTAGTTTACCTTGAAGGTGTAGTTTAGGTGTAGTTTACCTTGAAGATGCAGTTTACCTTGAAGATGTAGTTTAGGTGTAGTTTACTTTGAAGGTGTAGTTTACCTTGAAGGTGTAGTTTACCTTGAAGATGTAGTTTAGGTGTAGTTTACCTTGAAGATGTAGTTTACCTTCAAGATGTAGTTTAGGTGTAGTTTACCTTGAAGGTGTAGTTTACCTTGAAGGTGTAGTTTAGGTGTAGTTTACCTTGAAAGTGTAGTTTAGGTGTAGTTTACCTTGAAGGTGTAGTTTACCTTGAAGATGTAGTTTACCTTGAAGGTGTAGTTTAGGTGTAGTTTACCTTGAAGGTGTAGTTTAGGTGTAGTTTACCTTGAAGGTGTAGTTTACCTTGAAGATGTAGTTTACCTTGAAGGTGTAGTTTAGGTGTAGTTTACCTTGAAGGTGTAGTTTACCTTGAAGGTGTAGTTTAGGTGTAGTTTACCTTGAAGGTGTAGTTTAGGTGTAGTTTACCTTGAAGGTGTAGTTTACCTTGAAGGTGTAGTTTAGGTGTAGTTTACCTTGAAGGTGTAGTTTACCTTGAAGGTGTAGTTTAGGTGTAGTTTACCTTGAAGATGTAGTTTACCTTGAAGATGTAGTTTAGGTGTAGTTTACCTTGAAGGTGTAGTTTACCTTGAAGGTGTAGTTTAGGTGTAGTTTACCTTGAAGATGTAGTTTAGGTGTAGTTTACCTTGAAGGTGTAGTTTAGGTGTAGTTTACCTTGAAGATGTAGTTTAGGTGTAGTTTACCTTGAAGATGTAGTTTACCTTCAAGATGTAGTTTAGGTGTAGTT